TTCATGTACTAAGAGTCAGTCAGCAGGTCAAACAATGTGCATTATTATACAGAGTGAGTCAGAAGTATGTTTACAAACTTCGTGTGCGTGTTCCAGGATCAAGAATAAGAACAAATGTTCCTATGAACATGGGGTCGCAAATATTTCATTTTCGCAATAATAGCTAAAAAATAAGTTTCAATGATTAGACTTTATATCAAACTGTATCCAGCTTCCAGCAAAGATTTTCAATTAACGTTTGGGCAGGAATTATTGGCGACATGCTTATTGGTCCACACCATCGCGTCTAAGAGGACCTTCATATCGGTGATTATTAAGAAGACACTTGCCACGTCTCCTTGAAGATGTGCCACTGAATATAGGAAGTCAAATGTGGTTTATGCACGACAGAGCCCCAGCACACTTCTCCCATCGCCTCAGAGATCATCTCAATGAACAGTACCCTCAGCGATGGATTGGACGCGGTGGCCCAGTAGCATGGCCACCGAGGTCACCGGACCTGACTCCATTGGACTTTTATCTGTGGGGTCACTTGAAGTCCATCGTTTATGAAACGCCCATAAACAATGACGACGACCTATGGGAACGTGTGCAGAAAGCATGCCAGATGATTCCAGGAAACCCTGGTGTGTACGAACGAATTCGTCAGTCTTGTGTACGTCGTGCTCGTGCATGTGTGGAGAATGGAGGAACAACCTTTGAGCATTTGTTATAAGGAAATGTAATGATGATAATTTGGATAGGTTTAGTCCTACTTATGTTGGTAGCGTGGCTTGGAATGGAGCAAGGCAAGTTCACAAGGATGCTGTCGTCGGCTTAAACATACTCAGCTGATATGGTTTTTCTTCCAGTGAAGCTACAGCTTGTCCCTAAGACTATGCACCATTTATTTCTAACATTAAGTACTATAGAAATTTTACATTTGTATTAAACATTACCTTCCTAATTAAGGCTAGTTCACTTTATCTCAACCACACTCTGGTTATGTAAATTTTGAAGATTTATCGTACTACCTGTAGCATATCTGGAGTCATCACCTCAGCGCTTACCTGTTATCAGTAGCCCGATCAGCTTCCCCTTGCCCATGGCTTCGGTGACCTCCTTGTATCTTCAAAGTTCCGGCGGTTTTGACCGCGATCTATCTCCCACTTCCCTCGTCAACTGTTCGTTCGCAATTTCCCATACTTCTGCTGACTGCCTAATGACTACGTCTGCATTTCCGGTTAATTTTTCTTTCTCATCCCCTTAGAGAAAAGTGAGCTAGCCTTGCTGATTTACTCAATGCCAGGAAATGACATCAACACATTCCTACCTTTTAGCAAATTCAAATGTCTACTATACTTAATTCTATGTAACTTCAAATCTCTACATTCCTAATTTACCATATGTTAACTAAAATTAATTCATTACAGAAACATCCATGTCCTTATACTTGTCAATAAAGGCATACATTGGAAATTATTTTTGGCTATTATTTCGAAAATGAAACATTTGCGACCCCATGTTCATAGGAACATTTCTTCTTATTTTTGATTCTGGAACACGTACACGAAGTTTGTAAACATACTTCTGACTCGCTCTGTATCCCCCTTATAGACCTACGTATATCCGGAAGTAATGGCTGTGCGTGTGTGGGCCACCCGAAAGGAGGTTCCACGTCCCTAACAAACAGACCAGACAGAGGCGTGACGTTGGGCTAATTACAATGTTAACTTATCCTTCTGGTCCCATGATAATAATGTTAGTGTTTGGAGTCCGGTCTGATAAGGGCTGACAGCCGAGGCCCTCCCTTTAGATAGCGTCTTGTCTCCTAGAAGGCAGACTACTGGCATCAGAGGAATGTCTGCACAAGATGAAGGATAGGCCTGTCTTGTCTCTTGTCCGCCTTAATCGAGGCTGGAGCCCTCGAGTTTATACTCTCTGTTCTAAACACTAGCACCTCGTCGATATTGTTGCCTGAAATATCAACATAAATATGCTGATGTCGCCTTTAACAGGTTATCTTCAAAATCCCGCTAGCAACGTTTCAGTTTTGACGTAAATACATCTATACGGAAGGGTCATTCGGCAAAAAAGTGAAAGGAAAAGGGTAACGAAAACGTGGAAAGAAAATGTGTAACGCCTACACCAAATATGTGTACATTTTTTGTCATATAGCTAATTTCTTTTTACAGACAAAATATACGTCGCTGGTGGATATGATGGTGGGAATATTCTAAACTCGGTGGAAGTTTATGACCCGGGCACCAACCGATGGACTTTCGTTGCACCAATGCTTACTGCACGTATGTGGTATGCTTGTGTCGCTTTCCACGGCTGTCTGTACGCCCTAGGTGAGAACTCTGGACATTCTGATTGATGCAACTCTATCCTTCTTATAGAAGTTGCTATTGTGAAATGTTTTCCTGGTTTTCTTTGAGTGACTGAGTTTTTATGATCAGCATTTTGACGTAAATACGTCTATACGGAAGGGTCATTTGGCAAAAATGTATAACGAAAATGTGTAATGAAGTTGGGTCACAAAATGTGTAAGATCAATATCAACAGATCGACAACAATGGTTACCTAGGAAACGTCATCTGTTTACTCGGCATTGTTGTTACCTAGGAAACTTGACCAAGTTGTTGGTTGAAGATACGATAAACACATACATCTAGAAAGTTATTCATAAGATGATATAGTTGCGTCATATTGTGAAATTTAATTAATTATTCAGTTTTTGTCCGTCTAATCACAATTCATCAACCCCCCCAAGGGGGGTTGGTCAAGTGTTTTAACCCCCTTCCTTTCATTGTATTTATTGCCTAAATATAATTTAAATACAGAGACATATTTACGTCAGATTCTCCGGAACCGTGGTTCCACTGCCAATTTTTCTAAAATTAATTTATGAGTTATACGAAAATAAAGAAAATAGCATTTTAGGCTTTATTGTTAACAGAACCCAGAATGAAAAATTATAATGGACTACAAGAGTCTCTGGAAAGAAATTAGGACGTCTATTTCACTTTAAAGGCTTCAATAAAATTAGACATGGGTTACAGGCCTAACCTATAGTGATGTTAACAGCAATTATAAATTAATAGATTAACAATATTTGGTGATGCAACTTATATTCCTCTGTTAATGTCCACTAATTTTAAATAAATTAGTTACAGATCATCTCAACTGATTCTTAAACATTCATAGAAACATTATCATCTTTCTTACCAAACTTCGCTTTCTTAGTTGAAATAGCAATAGCCTTTCTTCTAGCCCGTTGCTTAGGTTTATTGTCAATGTAGATACTAGGCCTAGGTTTCCGAGCGTTATGTGTGTATGTGTGGTGTCAATAAAGTCCAGTTGCTTACAATTTAAAGTAACTTATTTTATTATGCAAAGTTTGAGGACCACACCTTAAAATTTCACGCAGCCTACATGTTGGTACTTCCACTTTTAAATATTTAGAAAGTACCCAGTAATGAGAAATAGACTTCAATTATCTCTCTGCTAGGTTCCGCCAGTTGGTTCAAGACTTGTTGTGAGGGGCAACATAAATATGATGTCACCATAAGTGTATCATTCTTAACCACCTCCACAAGTAACACGGAAAGGAAAGATAAACAATTTAACGTTATGAAACCTGCAGTAGGCCAATTTTTTTGTACAGTCCTGACTTTGAGGGGCAAAAACCCGTGTCAGAGCAAAGGGATCCTATAAGTTCAGAAAAATAAAACAATCTTCGGGGAGTTCTCACGTGTCTATTCACTTTTCCAAAAAAATTTAGACACGTGACTAGGCTATAGCTTAGAATTTGTACATGACAGTAGGCCAATCTTAAATTAGGCCAGGATATGTTGCTTCTACACAGTCTACTTTCCAATTTGGTCTATTTATTAACCATCCTATTATTCGACGTTAGTCTGAGCCACTAAAGGAAAGTTAATGAACCATGATAACTTCTCAAAAGAAACATATCAGTCCAACTAGTCCATCTGTATTTTCGAATGGTTAGTATTCCTGCTTTATATTCGGGTGATGACGGGTTTAAATGTTGATCTGGAGATCGGCCATGCTGAATGAGGTATTTCGTCACTTTTCTTAGTCCTTCCAGGCAAACGCCAGGACTGTAATTGCCTTAAATTAGACCAAAACCGCTTTCCTTCATATACTTACCAATTCATTAGTTTATTCATTGTTCATCCTGTCGTCCGAGATGGGCCTGAGCTACTGACAACATTCAATAAACGATAAATATAAAACTGTATTTCCATAATTATTCCATGTTTTCATTTCCTTATGCCATGTTCGCCGCTCGATGTTCTAATAAGAAGGCGCAGGTAATCCAACAAAGCGACTGCCACATTATACAATATCCCAAAAGAGAACTGTCTTCACATTTGTCGTCATGAGAACCTGGATCTTATCATTAATTTTTATTATTAATAGCAGGTATGAATACAAAGAAATGCAATTTGAAACATCAGGTCATATGATATGTAGATTATGGTAGGAACTTCGACAAATTCGTGAAGAGTAGATTTTGACACTACGCAAGACGGAGTCACAAATCGGTAGCGAATGATGAAGCAGGGTCAGAAACTTGTGGCTACGAATAGGGTGGGGGAAGGGGATAAGAATGGAGAAGAAATGTTAAGTACCTCACAGGTTGGTTTTACCCGGGGCCTGCATACACCAAGCGAAGGTCCAAAATGGACCACTGGTAAGTGAAAAGAAAAACAGGAAAGAGTAATAAACGTAAAAAAGGAAATTCGGAAGGTGCAAAATTCCCTTTCTAAATAACAAATTAACAAATCGGTTACCAGCCATTTTGACAAAATGATGTGATTTACCTGATAGATTTTTATTGCATAGTCGGGGAGGGTTGCTTTGCAGGTGGGTGGTCTAATATCAATGCCACGCCCACTCAGCCCTCAGCGATGAAATAATTGGTCAATGTTTAGATGGTCTGCGCATGCCTGCGTTCACCTTCCAGATAGCACAGTTTAGTTTCCTCAGCAGGGGGAAATAATGGACACCGGGGGAGAGGTGGTTCATATTCCAGGGCACAGACAAACATAGCAGACCACAGAGTAAACCTTGAAACAGTAAATAGAGTGTAACTAGAAGTGTTACAACATTGTGCACCAAGTTTCACTTCCACCGCAACTCCTTCCTGGGCGGTGTTCGACACTCAACAACCAGGAGGTGTGAAATATCATAAATGGTAAGTGAACAAAATGTATAACTGGGATGTAAAGTTGTAGACACACTAGGCTACCAGAAAATCTCACTACAGATGAGGTAAGTTGAACTTATATTATCTGTAAATGAAAGTTCATGGATGCCATAACAGCATCAGCTTTTGCAGAATTTTAAACACAATACACAGTAGGTCGTACCGCCATAACTCCGACAGTCAATAACATTCAACAGCGTGTTTTCTGGACTCAAGAAACAATATATAGTGTAAGAAGTCATGCATTTTGAAAAAGAGAGAGAAAAAGATTGGAGTGATAGGTCATTAAGAAGGAAGGACTAGAAGAATTTATGAAGTGTATCATATGGCTTTGTGTGATTAAAAGCAAAAGTAGACACTTTACGGAGACAACTGTGACTCTGTGAGTGGCAGAAAATGATGTAAGGAATAGGCCTACCAGCTATGGAACAGGGTGTTTTAAAAATAATATTTTATCAAATAATACAGTGGAAACGATGGGGAAAAGTGATGACATCTCTTTAATGCAATGTTTGATATTTCACACGAATGCTCGGATATTCAGTTGTGCACTAGAGAAAACTGGCCATTTTCAGTAGAAATTTTAACTTATGTAAAAATATACCAATATTAGTAGTGTATATAAACATATGAAATCAATATGCGAGTTAACGTAGGACAGTGATGATGATATATTACAGATTGGAATGGTTCTGTCCATACAAGTCATGTATGTATGGTTGATAGGCGGAAAGAAAGCTAATTGGTCAATTTCCCATAGTTAACTGAAACTGTACGTTATAAAATTAAAGCTATATATGTCTTAAGTCCCTGAGACTAGTTTCGTCAGCGCTAGAAAACAAGACAATTTGCAATATAAATTGTGGTAATGCCCGCAAAGATAAGAATAGTATTCTGAATGGATACTCCGCGTCAATAGACCTATTGGACGACAGACGAAGTCAAAGATTTTAGTTATAAGCTTAAAATGCCTAATTGCTATGCCACTGTCAGAATTTATTTACACCAAACTATTGCAGGATATTGTTGCCTTACACAGGAGGACGTTTGTGGACAGGTTGGCAAAACCTTTCGTTCGATAAGATAAGACAATATTGTGGAAAGTTCAATGATTAGACCGCTTAATGAAACTTTTACTATAGAGTTAACAAAGTTAGAAAAGTGGTGTTAGATTTCAGGTGCTCACAGCGGATATTATGAAGAAAACTTGTAGAAGTTGACCGGCGTTCTTCTACCAGACTACATGGCGCATCATCCCAAAAAACAGTCATCAATAAAAGTCGCGTGTGATTAGCTAATTTATAAGCCCAGTGGCCCATTGATAGTTGCATTTGTAGGCCTAATTAAGTCCTCTCAGACGGTCAGCCTCCTCTGTAAGCAGATCATAAATTTTACGTTTCAAACACTGCTTCTGTTTCAGAAATCATCATGTTTAAGCCAAGAGGCCTATATGACACATAGAATATTTATGGCATATAGCCTATAGGTCGCATACACTCTGTCTTTATCAACATGTTATAACCGTTGCACCTCTAACCGGTTTGCTTAGTTGCTCAGGGTGTTTGTCTCAAGGCGGCGCTTAACGTGCTGTTGATCGAGGACAGCTCACAGAGATAGATGGTTATTTCTGAAGTCCGTCCAGTCCGAATGTTTATTTCAGACTCTCCCTCACAAAACAGTCCTTCGGATATATGTAGTTATACATACTTAAAATATTTTTTAACAAAGAATGCAAATCATGCGTTGCAAACTTCTCTCGCACTATCGTCTCCTTTATTAAACCACTTCAAACAGAATCAACAGCCCTCACCCTAGGCTGTACACCTCCGTTCACACAAAACTCAACAGCTGCCTCAATCTCAACACGCATGCACAATGTCTACTCCCTTAAAGCGACTCCACAATACTAAGACTGAGAAAACAATATCATGAGTTGCCCACACGGCCTTCCGTCAAAAGAATAACAAAAGTACACAAACACTTTGAAAGAATTGGGATATGTGAAACTCCTTAATCTTGCAAGTCATAAATCGCAAACAGGTGCCAGACATCGCCAAGAATAGAATCCAGAAATCAGAATCTATGACATGTCAAACTAATACAACAATAGAAGTGGAGTGAGCGCACGCGATGAAAGTTATTGGTAGGTCCTGTAAGCACGCACAGACGCGTAAGATTTGTAGGACTCTGTGTGTCATTTATAACATCAGTCCTTGTTGTAAAAAATGTCCGACACATAAAAATTTTATTTGACATTGAAGCGTCTGATCGCATTGCAAGAACACAGCCTACTGAATTATTGATAATTATACCCAACCCTCTATTTACAAACGTGAGATTTACGAATTTTCGCGACAACGAACCACGTGAATTTATACCTCTCTTTTCATTTACGAATATTGTTTTCGCTACAACGAAGAACCAAGCCTCGTCTGAGGTTCGAACGTCCGCTTCAAAAGTAACGCAATCTCGTTAGTACTCATCTTCACTTTCTTGATTAAAACATTCATTTTAACTCTAGTTATTAGAGTAAATTATGTTAATTTCTTATTATTTGTTCCTCATCATTATTACACGTACAGCGATGAAGGTTTTAATAAAGACAGCTGTTTATAATTACAGTACAATGCAAACGTTTGATGTAACACTTCAATAATGCTTTGCAGAGTTAAATATGAAATACGTATCTTAAAAGAGTAGTACTTTTACTATCCTTATGACTGCATAGCATCCCAACATACGTAGGAACAATCTTGGGCGACTTTTCTGGAAGTTAGGACCCAGTCAGAATTTTTTAGGCGTAAATTAATATGAATTTTATTTTCGATTTACGGATTTTTACCTTATGAACAGTTTTCATCGAACGAATTACGTTCGTAAATCGAGAATAGGTGTCATTTATTAATTATCAGTCTATTTTTCGGGCGTTACTTAGTTAATTGTTGTTAATTTATCAGTGTGAGGTCACTGTCAACACTTTCCGCCTCACGGCACGCTAGAATACGTTCAATGTCGATATCACGACATAATTATCTGTTGCTTGCGTGTGTAGGTCCGTCTACCTATACTCCTATATTACAGCCTAAATTAAGAAGGAAGGTGTAGGCAGTCTTTATATAACACGGATATTCCAAAAGTTATTCACGCCACATCACGTAGGATACTGTTGCACTAATGGTATCCGAGGTCGTTGTTGAGCAACGATGTGCTCTAGCAATAGCATTCGGTGATTGTTGGGAGAATTTGTAATAAAATATATGCAACGCATATGCCTAGCCTAATACAAGAGATTTGTCACGGAAAATAATCTTTTTTAATATTGTAATTTTGCCTCGTGCAACAATGACACGACGAGTAGAAGATTTCAATAATAAAGTATTTAATGGACCCATAAACAAAGAGAAACAATCTTAAAGCTTTTGTTTAGCCTTAGGTGAGAGTAAGGACAGAAACGATACTGCTCAGTTACATTTAAAATTAATAATGAACACTTTAAATCCCAAGTCCAACATGTACCACCTGCTTTAACAATAACTTTTAATTACATATTTGTGAGGTTATTGTTATTCTCACTCTAAACAGAGTTTATTTCCTTAAACAGCGTTATCTATCTGATCTTTGCAATGGAGAAATATTATTTCCTTTGTAGCACGGACTTGGTAATTAAATATTATTTAGATGAATTTCGTCTTTAAATGGTTAATCGCCATTCTAGTCATAGCCTACAAGAATCTTTTAAGGATGTCGAAGAGCTAGATACTCTTCCATTTTTCCGTAGCACAACAGCAGAAGAACGTTTGGGTTTGAGTGTGTGTGGAGCTATGAAGAAGAGGGTATGGTAACAGAGGGAACACCAAGAGAAAAGCAGGTTTAGTGGGGAGATTTGTACTGGAAATGGACTAGGTCCCAAACTGCACTGTATTATTCAAGAATTGGTGATCCCCAAGAGCCGAAGTTATGCCTGTAATTAATATTATGCATCATACACTGTAGGCCTACTTTTCGAAACCTACTTGGTTATAGTGTTCATATTTAATTCTATTTCATCTCGTTCCACGAGCTACTTTACATAATCATCTGTGCGTATCTTTGCGCTGATGAGAAAAATATGTTGTCTTAAAGTCTTATAAATACGCAAAACATGCGCGCCAAGGTCTTTGCATAAAACTCTCCAATTTCTAGAAAATTATTAGTACGTAGTTTGGTCAAATAACAATACCTGTTACGTTTGTACCATAAGAAATATTTTATGCTGTCGCACTGCCGTCTAGCTAACGCCCGATCGATCCACAAAGCATTGTATGTAGCTACTTAACACCAGAGACACTCCATACGTAAAAAATGCATCTTTCATAACACTGCACGTCTTTTTAGTTTTCAGTAAATGAGTTACTGAAAGAGAAGGGAGAACTTTTTAATGAATTGAAATGCATAGGGTTACTGAGGAGAAACGAAACGAAACGTAGTCTACCAGCACAATAAGGCAATCGATATCATATTATCACAATTGATATTGATTTTACATAATGCCAATATTAAAGCTATTTAACTCCCAGAAAAGGCCTCTCCTTAGCTTTTCCGTTCAGATACCATTCTAGTGACCTCGTCAATGTCACGTGCCAGAACCCTGATAACCGTTCAGTAATCAGCAAAAGCCGGAATGTCCGGGTTGTTTTTGAATATGCCCAGAACGTTGCTTGTGAAGCTGTCGACTTTTCCATCCACGGAATTAACGTGTTTCGACTGTCACTGTTTTTCAGAGCCAAGTGATTATAGTTCACAATGCAAATGAAAAGTGAAATATTTTGTGCGATCTTTGCACGAATTACATAAAATAAAAGATCGGTGAGTCCATCCACTGGTTTTATCTCCCAATTCTTCTTCTTCCTCTTAAAGTGCCTATCCGTTCCGGATGTTGGCGATCAGCATAGGAATTTGAGCTTTACTGGCTGCTGTTTGAAACAACCCTCCAGTGGACATCGAGAACA